CGACCAGTAGGTGGCAGTAATGATAATTCAGATGTCCATGTCAAAACCAGAGAAGAGGGGCCGTTAGCACAACAGCCTTGGTACAGGCTACATGCTAGCCTGCTCCACAATAAATCTAACTGAACTCAACTCTCCAAGTACCACCAGTGGTACATGTACCATAGTGTGAGAACCACTATTTCAGCTCTGACCAAGAACATGAACCTGTGCGACCTTTGACCTACACCAGTGAAATAAGGAGAGAACTTCATTCAGACAGAACTGACTCTGGACCAGACCCTGGATCAGACTTTGGGCGGGAAAAGTGCAGCCTGGAGGCAGAGAGGCTCCGAGTGATGGATGGTGACAGTGATATCTGGGCTGGGCTGGATTCTGGGCTGCTGCCAACACTGAGCCTCAGACTCTATAGAAGAGAGAGGTCTTTGAAGAACAGTTCCAGTTACAACACGAGTCCACATTCTTGACATACCAAACCCACAGTGGACAGCCCACTGGAACTGATCCAGAGTCAGTTCAGGCTTGGTGTGCTGACATCACTGACACACCACTGTGTGGCAGGGTGTGTGTGTGTGTGTGTGTGTTGTCCTCCACCAGATGTTCTGTCACTGATCTCCTCTCAGATCCAGCGTCAGACTGGAGTCGACTGCTGATGGAAGATCAAAATGATCTCTGAGATAAAACGACTTCTTCTGTTGTTCTGACGCTGATGACAAACATCAGAGTCAAATTCCTGTACCTGGAGCATCGTCCAATCAGCTGCCAGTATGTCCTGGTCTGATAAGAACCTCAGTCTGACCTGTTCTCCAGCAGGGTTCTGTGTCATCTGGACTCAGCTGATCCTACACTCAACAGTCAGACCAGCGGTCTGGTACAGTGTGTGTGTGTGTGTGTGTGTGTGTGTGTGTGTGTGTGGATGGGGGGTGATTTAGGGTCATGGTGTCAGTGGTCAGGAGAAAAGACTTCTTCTCCAAACCAGAACCACTCCCACTGAAGAGGAGCAGGGTGGGGTGTGGGTGAGGAGGAGGAAGAGGAGGAGGAGGAAGAGCCCAGATGTCCATCTTCTGTCAGAAGTTGTAATTAAACTGAACACATCCACACACTTTCATTAATTCTTCATCAAAACTGGAGAGAAAAACTCGGACCAGACCACGACCACAACAGGGATAAAAACCAGGACCAGGGCGACAAGTGGGTCACATAAACTCAGAATTCAATATATTCACTGAGAGGAAAAAGAGAGTGAAACAGGATCTGAGTGTGTGTGTGTGTGTGTGTGTGTATGAACAGCTGAAGGTGTAAACTCTCCTCTCTCTCTCTCTCTCTCTCTCCACAGATCTCATGTTACATAACATGTCTGAAGCTCAGGGATCAAACTCTTTACGTTCCACTTAAATCCTCTGTTTACACCCTGAACACACACACACACACACACACACACACACACTCTCTCTCTCTCTCTCTGTGCCCCTCCCTTTGTGGTAACCTTTATTAATTATTTTCAGCTTTTTGACAAATAGCCTTAGGCTAGCTTTTGGTAACACATTTTAGCTTTGTTTTTCCTTCTCTCGTCTTTCCTACTCTTGGTCTCACTCTTTGATCCAGGATCTTATTCCATGGCGCTAACTGGTCATTTGCTAGCTTGATTGTTTTAGCTAACTTTAGGTAAAAAGACGACGGCTGCCCTATAACAAAGCTCTGAGCTCCGGGCTAACGTTGATCGTCTGTAAATAATGAGAAGGAATAAAACGTCAGGTGAGGAGCAGCTGAGGATGAGTGTGAATGGGTGTGAATGTGCTCTTCTGTAAACATTATTTTTGTCAGGCAGGTGAACTTTCATGACCCGGGGTCACATGTCCTCCTACACCACAAACCTGACCCACACAAGGAAGTACTGCAGTACGAACTGAGAGAGAGGTATTCTGGACTGACAGATGACCAGGACCAGGACCAGGACCAGGACCAGGACCAGGACCATGGCTACTACTCAATATTAAATCCAGTAGAAGAGCTAAGAGTTAGCCTTTATGTAAATGTGGAGAAGCTGCACCTTAGTTTGAACACACATTAAAACTCAAAGTCAAAACAGCTGCAGGGAACATTCTATTAAATTGAAGCTAAAACAAAGCTAACTGTTAGCTTGTTTATTTTTATTTCTGCCACACTGACACTTGTGTCTGATCAGTCTGATTGATCAGATCTGACTTCCTGCTGCAGGTCAACAGCTGAAGGTCATGTGATGATTGGACTGATGTCACAGCACGGCCTCAGGTCACAGTCCAACAGTTCTCAGTCAACTGCACTAACATGGATCGATGACTGGACTGGAACCAGAGGTTGGGTTTTTTATTTCGTAGTTTTTTTTTTAGCTAACTCTTCTTCTTTAGTAACATTGGCTGCTAACAGAGACACTGTAGTAAAGTAGTGACTGTTGTCCACTCCACACTGGACTCACAGCAGACCCCTCCCCCAGGACAAGTTCAGAGATTTGAAGGACACGTTTCAGCTGTGGGGAACTTGACATTGTGTCAGTACATGATCAGACGCTCACTCCTCCTCACTCCTGCTGCCTCCTCACTCCCCCTGCCTCCTCACTCCTCCCGACTCCTCCCTCCTCCTCCCTCCTCCCCCCCCCCCCCTCCCCCTGCCTCCTCCCTCCTGCTGCCTCCTCACTCCCCCTGCCTCCTCACTCCTCCTGGCTCCTCACTCCTGCTGCCTCCTCACTCCTCCTGGCTCCTCACTCCTGCTGCCTCCTCACTCCCCCTGCCTCCTCACTCCTCCTGACTCTCACTCCTCCTGCCTCCTCAGTCCCCCTCACTCCTCACTCCTGCTGCCTCCTCCCTCCTCCTCACTCCTCACCCCTCCTCCCTCCTCCTGACTCCTCCCTCCTCCTCACTCCTCACTCCTGCTGCCTCCTCCCTCCTCCTGCCTCCTCACTCCTGCTGCCTCCTCCCTCCTCCTGCCTCCTCGCTCCTCCTGCCTCCTCACTCCCCCTGCCTCCTCACTCCTCCTGCCTCCTCACAGCCGACAGAGACACAGCCTGCGGCTACGTTTCTTGGTGTTGTTTTGTTGTTCCTGTCTTATCACACAGACTAATGCAAACAGAGGAGCGGAGTTCACAGACGAGTCCAGGCAGGACTGGAGCTGGAGACACTGAAGAGACGGAAGAGACGGAAGACACTGAGGACGCCTGCTGACTGACGCCTCAGGTTTCATAGAAGAGGAAGACGAAGGAGAAGAAGAACAGCTTGAAGACGGAGATCAGTGACAGGCAGAGGAATGAGCAGCCGCAGGACACACACACACACACAGACACACACACACACACACACACACACACACACACACACACACACACAGATAATTACTCTGGTAATTTTCTTGACAATCCTGAACAGATTACTCCATCTGTTATAGCAGGTCAGGATTAATCTGTTTCTGTACGTGTGTGTGTATATGTGTGTATATGTGTGTGTGTGTGTGTACATTGTTGATTCCGTGTTAAGACTAAATGGCCAATCGCTGTTCAAACACGCAGCCAGCTGTCTGGTTATTTAGCTGTGAACTGATTTAAATTGTTAGTCTGTGTAATCCTGGAGCTGAACATGACGTGTTAACCCTTCACTGACCCTGACACTGCTGGGAGACAAACTACAACCACACTACCGCCAAACTACAACCACACTACCATCAAACTACAACCAAACTACTCCCACATTATCATTAAACTACACCCACCCTACCATCAAACTACACCCACACTACAACTACACTACCACCAAACTACACCCACACTACCGCCAAACTACAACCACACTACCATCAAACTACAACCACACTACCACCAAACTACACCCACACTACCGCCAAACTACAACTACACTACCACCAAACTACACCCACACTATAACCACAAATCAAAGACTTCAATCCTACTGTTGAGACTCCTGACTAATTCTTCACAGTAACCAAGATACAACATGACAACAATGACATGGTACAAATGTTCATTTTTAGTATTTAGTGTTAAACTGACTGTGGTTAAATATCTGGCTCCCAACCCTGTCCACTCCACCGGGCTCTTCACTGTCTGGACTACAGGAAGAATCCCAGTTACTGTCATATACCTCAATATACTGCAGTACAAGGTCAAACAGTGTATTACACAGTGATGTACTGCAGTACACGGTCAAACAGTGTATTACACAGTGATGTACTGCAGTACACAGTCAAGCTGTGTGTGATTTCCAGTGAACTTTTCACCTCTTTTTCTGATCTCAGATCAGTTCAGGTATAAAGTGACACAACAGTCCAAACAGAACAAAGAGTCAGACGTGAAGAGGAGGAGGAGGAGGAGGAGGAGAAGGATGGGCTGTGTTTGAACACGTACAACTTCACCTACTGTACGTGCACACACAAACATACACACACACACACACACACACAGTGGTCCCCGCAGCTGTTCTCCTACAGGAGTCTAATCTGACAGCAGCACAGACGGAGTTCTCCTTTTCCTGACAGATGAAGAAACTGTGAGTGACTGTGGTGGAGCCAACGTCTCAGCAAAGGCCAGAAGCTAGAAGTCCATTCTTTAGCTAGAACAGGTCTTTAGACTTGTTAGAGTCTGTAGTTTTGCCCATCATAAAAAAACACAAAACAAACACAAAATTTGACATAAATGTAAGAGTCGTATGAAACTGGACAAAGAGCCGCGTATGGTCCCCGAGCCACGGGTTGGCCATGCCAGGCTAACATCATCAACTTTTCTTCTTCTCTGGTCTTTACAATCAGATGTGAATGTCATGACTGCCAACTCCTGGTCTGTTGTCCACCGCCAACTCCTGGTCTGTTGTCCACTGCCAACTCCTGGTCTGTTGTCCACTGCTTGGCAGTTTCTGGGGCGTAGGCTTACGGCCAACGTTTTGTTAATTATTCTGACTGTTATGACTTCTCATAGAACCTGACGTCTCCATCCATCTGTCCACGGAGAGTTCCCAGAGGACGGAGGGTGTTTACGGGGGCAGTACAGAGGGATGGGCTGCAGCCCACATGAAAGGCAGCATGGGTTACAACAAAAGACATTGTAATCAGGAAGGTCTTTGAAGAACCTCTGATGGAGTTCATTCAGTGAGGGGAAGACCACGCCCACTGAGGTTAACGCTAAGTCCACAGACTGAGGGGTGTGTGTGTGTGGAGGGGGGAGGGGGGGGGGAAAGGGCTGCTGCCAGGTGTACACTGCAGTCTGAACCAAGAAGATTTCACATGGAACCAAAAGGTTCATTCTGTCTATGGTCTGTGATGTTCTGGTCTGAGGAGAACATCTGGTCCACAGCTGGTTCTGGATCAACTGGTCACAGAGTTGATCAGGTTCTAGTCAACTTTAGTCAAGAGGACTAGACATCACTGCCATCCCAGCTCCGATGTTTGTTGTAGAGACAGACAGTGTCCACGGTCCGGTCCAGACCTGATGGATCAGACCAGCGGAGGACAAGCCTGAGTTAGCACTGAGTCCAGTTTTATGGCCTGAAGTTCTGTCCTGAGCTCAGCAGAAGGACGAAACCTCCAGAATCAGCTCCTTGTCCATCAGTCAAACCCCCGGGTTGTCACCCTGAAGAGCCTCCACCCCCAAACTGACCAGGGAAAACAAATCCATCAGCTGCAGTGTCCACAGCTATGCTAAAGCTAAACCAGACTCTCGCCCTGAAGTTTCCCAGGTCCAGACGACCTCCTGACACCTCCATCGTCTCTGTCCTTCTCTGACCCTGGTGGCCTGAACACCAGCCTCAACAGTTCAGTCCCCGTCCCCCTCCCTCCCCCTCCATGGCCCACCCGTCTAAGAGTGGAGATCCGAGAATGACCAGCATGTTGTTATGACATCATCAGGCAGCAGCTGACCTCAGAGCAGAGCACTGACCTGCAAACAAACTACTAGTCGCTATGGTTATTTATAATCCCCCCCCCCCACTCCAGTCTTCAGTGGTTGATTACAGCCTTAGTTTGAATCCACTCACATTTTAAACTAGTTCCTGGTTCCTGGTTACAGAAAAAGAAAATAGTCTCACACTCACTGGTTTTGTTGCACTTGACCCTGGAGAGAAGTTTGTGGGCCTGCAGGAGATCTCCTCCCTTCACGGCCGTCAGCAGGTCTTGCTCTCTCCCCATGACCTACAGACAGGAGGTTCTCTCAGAGAGGTGGTTCCGGTCGGTTCTTCTGTCCAGACAGACGGTTCAACCATGGGTCAGAAGGTCGACAGATGGGCGCCACACTCCAGAAGATCTCCTGAGGTGACACTCATCATGATGAAGAGCAGCAAGAGCTACAGAGGAGCATGGGGAGGTCCGGTGGTGCAGGAGGACTTCTTCTTCATCTCCGTCACACTGGAGGAGTTTAGATCCATGACCACGACCACGACCACGACTGCTGAAGTGGATGGAGATGAATGTGTGGTCACAGCTTCACAGAACCTGGAGTAGACAGAATAGGATCAGAACATGTTTAGCTTAAACAACACAGGTCTTCAACATAGGGTGCGCAGCCTCTAGGGAGGCCCATAGAAATGCTGCAGGGCTCGAGATCTTTTATCAGAATATTGTTTTTTGCACAAAACCAGGACCAGTTCAGGTGGATCTGTTTAATGGAACTGGTTTTTTAAATACACCTCAGTCAGGATTCAGATTTCCTGGACAGACGATCCGACCTGGCTAACAGCAAAGCTAAGTGACAGCTAGATAACCAGATGTTGGTCTAGCAGCAGCTGGTAAAGATTTCTTTAGTAAAAACGTCCAGCTGGGCTTCAGTACCACAACAGTGACAAGTTCTCTGAGAGAAAAGAAAAACAAGGAATTTTCCAAACATTTGATAAGGAATGTTTATGTTCCCAGATCCAGGAAACCTGGTATCCCCGAGGAGGACAATCAGCGACTCTACCCTGCTGGAACCATCTCTTTGACCTCAGATAACACCGCACCAAATTTAAGGAAGTGACATCCTGAGAGGAGGAGGAGGAGGAGCTGAAGGAAAGGAGGAAAATGAGGAATCTGTGTTTTTCTTTCCAAGTGAGAAAAGTTCAGTGGAGGCTGAGCAGCGACGCCTCATTAAGTCATTTAGTTGAAACCCCGGGGGGGG